TTTTATCTATAAAAACAGCTTATTACGCTCTGATACAAACTTGTATTTTCTTATTAATTGATTGTTTATTATTCCTAGTGCTTTCTCCAATGGCAAATGAATCAGAAGTTCTAAAACAATCGCAGAATATAACTTGCTTCTGCATTGTAAAGTCAATACTTTGCAGCCCCTTTGTCACACTTAAAATGTCCTAATAGTACCAAGTCTCAGATGCCATTTCTTTCCAGCTCAATGCAGATTATACTGTTCATACAGACACATTACACTAATTGCTCCGTAAAAACATTAAATGTAATTGAAGAACCGAGCCTAGAGCGAGAAGCTGGCAAGCAAGAATCCCCCTCCCCCTTTCTAACCTAATTACTCTGGCCTTCACTAGGCCGATTTCAGCTTTCCAACTTTTAACTAAATTGCTATTGATTCCAGAGTGGGAAAGCGAGTGTCTAGGCTTCCATTGCTCCAGTTGAAGTGGTTGTGACGGCCTGCCGCTGATCAGGAGAAATCCGATTTCTCAGTGCCTGATGCACAAGCCTTTCGTTTGGGCTGTTCGAAAGCCCCCACAGAGATGATTGTAATTATGACAGGAGCCCGACTGCTTCCCAGCAGCGATGAGGTCATGTGCTGACATTGTGTCTTATAAGAATAGTCCAAGATGACTGTGGCCTCTCTTGGTCTCAGGAGTGCTCCTCTTGCCATTTCATATGCGCTCACCCTGTCCTTGAGGGAGAAGGGAGGAAGAGATGGTAATGATGCCATCTTGTCTGTCCTGGGTTCCCTCTCTGGGGATCTGAGAGCCGAGACACCATCCTTTTCAACTGACACTTTGGTGATGGCAACTCAAGGTCCTCCTGCTTGTTAATGGAGGAGAGATAAGCCTGCCTGCCTCATTCATTTGCTCTGAATAGGTGTATGCGAATCATCAATAGTTTCTTGAAACGAGGCTACCTAGCTCTTCTCAACTGTCAACAGTGTAGGTCAAGGCATCAGTCAATTGGGGAAAGATACCCTTGAACTGGATGGTACTCAGAGTACAATGTTTTCTTAAAGCTTGATGTTTTCTTAAAGCTTCTTAAATTTCTTGGATGCTTTCAGTAAACCCTATTTGAATCTTGCAAGTCTTTTTTGTTTGACCTTTTAAGACAAAATGGTTGCAGTGAAGTATTTATGGTTTTCTCTTAAAGGGTCACGAAACACCAAAACACATTTTTTGAGCTGTTGACATGCGTATGTGTCCCACACTGCTAAAAACACTATTAGGACACTATATTTCACTAAAAAGTGTAAATTGGTTGTTTTTGCGTTATTTCAAGCAAATTCGTACTTCCGGTTTGAAACGAATTTTTGAAGCTGCGTCACGGTCATGACATAATAGCGTGTATTCCAGCGTGCAGACTGGACGTCTGTGCCAGAGTGTGTCTTATTACGTCTTACAGTGTGATGCATTAATGCATGAGTAAGGCTTGAATCAAACCAATCAGCGCGCTCTATTGTGCAACTTCATTAATATTCATTACTGTCACAGTGTTTAGACGACAGACACACCACGTTGTGTTGGCAAAACAAGCGTGAAGTGTTGCTTTTATAGTTTGCTGCCGTTAAGTTTCGTTTTAATTTTCTCTCTGTGAGAGCTCAGACTCACGTGTGGATTAACAGTGTACGCGACGCGCGACAACAATAACTTACATGTCTAAGGAGGAACATTGTTTACCTGAGAGCTGTTCTCATCTGCAAACGCTGAGATCCAGATTCGCTTGTAGTCTCCTCTTAATAAAGACGCGGCTCTAGTTGCTGGTGATTGTCCTGTCTCTACAGATTTGGTAAGTGAGCGACCAGTTCTTTTTGTGTATTCATTTTGTTCGTATCGAACTAAGTTAACTATTGAGTGTAAACATGTTAATACCACAACCAAACTTTAACCTCGTGTAGGATTTTCACCGCATTTTGTTACATCTAAGTTTCTAAGTTTTGCATCTAAGTTTCCGGGAAATGCTGAGGGTTTTTTTTTCTCTCATTCGCCGTGCGGTATCAAACATTGAGTGAAAAATACATGCTTGGAGCAGTTCCTCGAATCAAATATCTCGTTTGTCGCGAGGGGCATGAATGAATTCCCTGAATGAAAGACCCAAACTGCAGTTAAAGTCCACCGTTTAATAATTTGGCAAATAATTCGACTACAGATCTCCATGTAAACACCATCACTTTCTCGTGTGTGTGTGTGTGTGTGTCTGTGTGTCTGTGTGTGTGTGTGTCTGTGTGTGTGTGTGTGTGTGTGTGTGTCTGTGTGTGTGTGTCTGTGTGTGTGTGTGTGTGTGTGTGTGTGTGTGTGTGTGTGTGTGTGTGTGTGTGTGTGTGTGTGTGTGTGTGTGTGTGTGTGTGTGTGTGTGTGTGTGTGTGTGTGTGTGTGTTCATTTTGACTCTGAAACTCGCGCGTGCCCAAACAGACACTCCCACACCTTCCCACTTTAGTTCCTCCGACACCCCCCTAAACAGAGCTGGACACGCCCACTTTTCTGACTTTTTCCAAAGTAGAGGTGTGAAAACACCCTGCTGAAACGAGGGGGTTTCATAGCCCTTTAAGGTGTAGGATTAATTTGTTATGCATTAAGAAATGCAAAAATGAAGCTCCACACAGCTAGACTAATTAGAATGTCAAGTATTTCAGCCTAGGGAAAGACTTAACCTTAAAGAAAACACCCTGTGAAGACTGATTTTTACATGCCCTTTTTATGTTCTGGTTTCTTATGTTAATTTGATTAAATTAATCTATTTCAACACACTAAACCAATTAATAAATTGTCAGAATTTATTGGCATTCATCAAAATAAGCATCTGCAATGACTTCCCCTCTTGGTTAAAGTGGCAAGATATAATTTGCAACTTAAATGCGGAAATGTGTAAATAATTCAGTAGCTAAGCTCAGGGTCTTGTGCGTCTCCACAGGGCTAGCTTGGCACAGCATCAAGGGTGTACTAGAAGAGCACTTCACTTATTATTTCATCAGGTCTCTAGAGCAATGCATGCTGGTTATACATTTAAAGTTTTAATTAAAGTGAACAAGGCTAGGAAGATGGACAATTTCATTAGTTAACAGTGACAAATTGTTTTTGTTTGTCATTAGTTCTGTTCATCGGAATTTATTTGAACTTGAGCTCAGCAATTGTTGACCAGACATTCTGCTGTGGCGCTGAATTAGTTAAGTTGTTCACCCTAGGAGCTAATCAATGCAAGGAAAGTGATATACGAGGTTGTTTTGCAAAGCTCACAGCTGGAATAGGCTGTAGTAATGGCTGAGGGTTTTGACTACATACACGCTAATCGGTGTACCCTAAACAACTACTCGATACTATGCCTTTCTACCAGATACAGCAAATACCCAAAGCTCCAACAGTCTCCAGACAGAGGCTTTATCTCTACCGTACAACCGTAGGATTACCGTTCAAAACAAATCCTGTCATTCTCTCATTAAAAAGGTAGATAAGAGGATAACTGTCTGATTGAAAGGGAAGAAATGGGACACATGAATCTTTAACACCTCCAGAAGTCAGATTGTTTGATTTATAAAAGAAAAGGCTGGGAAATGAGGGAAGGATTAGCGAAATGAATTCGAGGATATTTGGACACAGGCCATGTCTTAATGAAAAGACAGTTTGGAAAACCCAGTGTATCGTGAAGGAGATCCAATGATTCTTTCTCCCAAGCTGCTGCTTCTTAACGGCTTTTGACAATAAATGTCAGTGTTTTAAGGCAGTTACGGCCTCTGGGGCCTTCTGGCCCACTGGATAACGGCTGTCACTCATTGATTTTTGCTAGGCAGCTAGTGACTTACCACTCAGATTAATAATTAATTTGGCAGATATTGAAGCGCACCCTTGGTGGGGGCGTTGCCTGGGCTAAACACCCACACCTCCAGCCTTGCACTAACTTGATAGAATAGGATTGTCCTGTGGCACAAAGATTTTACTTTAATTAATAAGGATTTTAATTGATTTCAGGAAACTTAATAAGGAATCAGATAATACTTGAAAATGTTTTCTACCTAAATCTTTAAATTAGTTTTTTTTTGTGTGCGTGTTTGATAATTACTCTGACTTGGTATTAGATCTTCACTGTCTAGACATAATTGTGTTGACCCTTTGTTAGAAAGCTAGTAAGTTTACCCTTTTCCTGGCCCATTCATGCAGGAATTGTCATACTTTTTTTGCTTTTGTGTATGATTGGTGTGACTTTTAAACCTTTACCCATAATTAGAGTTGAATACCTTTGTCTTTTATTGCAGTTCTGCTAAGCTGATTAAATTCCTTGGAAAGGGCATTTATCAGGTCTTTATTGTATTTCAGCTTTTGTTGTTGCAAGTCTAATCCTGTAGGCCAGAGATAAATATTGGTCTTAAGAGTGCCATGAAAGTCATGCAGTGCACACATTTCAAGCAAAGTGAACAGATTGGGGGGAACATTCATATTTGACCTTCACCAATATGCCTTTCCTGAGATAATCAAAGAGAGAGCCTTGCTGTGCTATTCATCTCCAAGTAATACGATCCGTCCCACTCATTTTCCCAAACTGTATGGACATGTGAATAAAAAATGAGAGGGTTGTCACAGCTTGACGCATGATTAGCACCAACGTTGCTTCTGTGGCAAGTACACACAAGAATAGACTGATCACACTATGTAATTTATGGATTCGCTTCAAATGATACTGACATATCTCAGCACATGGCCTAGTTCCCTCTTTGCTATACTCGTATATAATTCCCTGTCTACTGTGTCCTTTATCTGCCCTTCTGAAATCCCATCATCATCCTACTTTTCCCCTTTTCCCTTTGTCCTCTCTCCATTCCTCAGCCTTCCACTAATCTTTTCCACAATTCTGTCTTTGTCCTTTATCATCAGTTACTCTTCCTGTGTTTTCCCATTACTTACCTGAGCACTTGGTCCATTTAGATCATTTAGTTTTTCCCTCTTCCCAGAAGTAACCCATTTATGTTTTTATTTTCCCACAGTATTCCTCAGCTGGATGTCTGCTGTCTCTTCACCACAGCGAGAAGCCAGAGCATGAAGAAGTGTGTGAGTTTCGTCCGTACACTTGCCCGTGTCCAGGGGCCTCCTGTAAATGGCAGGGCTCCCTGGAGGAAGTCATGCCACATCTCATGCATGCCCACAAATCCATTACCACCCTGCAGGGTGAGGACATTGTCTTTCTGGCCACGGACATCAACCTACCTGGGGCAGTGGACTGGGTCATGATGCAATCGTGTTTCGGCCACCACTTCATGCTGGTTCTAGAAAAGCAGGAAAAATACGAAGGACACCAACAGTTCTTCGCCATCGTGCTGCTCATTGGCACACGGAAGCAAGCAGAGAACTTTGCCTACCGCCTCGAGTTGAATGGCAACCGTAGGCGGCTCACGTGGGAGGCCACACCACGTTCAATCCATGACGGTGTTGCAGCGGCCATCATGAACAGTGACTGTCTTGTTTTTGATACCTCCATTGCCCATCTGTTTGCAGACAATGGCAACTTGGGTATCAACGTGACCATCTCTATGTGCTGAGGTGGCAGAGTAGGACTTTTTCCTGTAAACCAAATCTTGGACAGCCTCTGCTCTCTATTAGACTGCAGATTCTGAAGACAATGGTTGGGAGATGTATACATTTGTGTATATTTCTGTTCAAGAGTCATCTGCTAAACCATTGCACACTTCCCAATTAAAATATAGTGTGCTAGACCGATGGCTGGAGCTCTTCTGGAGATGAAGAGGAGAGTGTGGAGGTGTTGGCAATCAGTTGAAGGAATTGGTGCAATGGAGATTTTCTCTTGCACGCTTCAAGGATTCAAACACCTCATCCTTCAGAAAATATCTAGGGTAATGTTCCGGTTGTGGATTACCACATTTATTCCCTGGGATGCCCCCTGTCCGGCCCAAAATCCAATCTTGACTAATGAATCTAGTTTAATGGAATCAAAATGCTAACTTGGAAAGAGTCTGGGCATGGTGTAACATTTGCCTCAGAAACTTATATATGTAAAAAAAACTGCACTGACTACTGTGGTTTTCCTCCCAGGACATGGAGTGGAACCATAGCAAATGTATGTGGCAATGTAAATGGTATCTTCTGAATTTCATGGTTGTATGACTAGATAAAACAGTGCCCATGGTGAAAATAAGGTGAGCATGGTGGAAATAAAATTTGGCAAAAGTGACTACATAGCCGCCATGTTTGATAGGCAAGAATTTGACCTCTTCACTATTTTCCCCCCATTGCTTTCCTGTTTCTTTTCAAAAAATCTATTCTGTTGGTGTTTCAATACAGATGATGACTACTCTGAAAGTTTATTTTGGGGTCCTCTGATAAACCTATCCAGAGAAAAGCGGAACACTGGTACCAGCAGTAATCATGATCTAATGTCACATCACAAATATCCCTTGATAAATGTATATGATTATTGTTTGAAGGGATGTTTGACTTGGAAATTCTAAATTAGTTACCCACCCTCATGCAGGATGTCTCAGCTGTTCTCTTTCAATACATCCTATATATAAGGTTTGTTGAGCTCCTAAAAGCACCATACATATAGCCCATACAACCTGTGCAGTATATTTTAAGTCTTCTGAAGCCATATGATAGCTTTGGGTGACAGCTTATAATAGTTTTGCCTTTGTATTAAACTCTTTGTATGAAAAAGAGCAGCTTTCACATTGTGCTGCATGCCATATGGAGCTCAAAAGACATGAGGGTGAATGAATTATCAAAGAATTTTCATTTCCGAGTGACTTATTACTTTAAATGGGTGTTCAAACTGTTCTTTTTAGTCTACATTGTCACCAATGACTGTATGTCAAAGATATAACCTGCGCACAAACAGCAATCTGTTGTTTTACTGTTGATGAAGTGTCAGCATTTGACTGTTTTTGTTGTCTTTGTACTTTTCTTTCATTGTTTCACGATGATCTGTAAGATTAAGGAAAGCTTTTGTAAATATAAACCGCTTTAGTTTTGTTGGTATCTGTTGTTATTGTTAAGTCTCTTTAAAATGATCGTTTAGTCTAGACTGAAGGCTTGTTTACTTGGCTTCTTTTAAAGATCTGAACAGTTTCTCCGTTCTCCCATTTGGTCAATGAACCCACAATGCCTTATTTGTATACAAAACTCAAGAGTCTGCTGCCTTTTCGGACTCCGCGTTCAGGTCACTTTGTTCCAAACCTCCAGTGTCTTGAAAGAGACTTGCATTTTATACAAAGTGGCATTATGTGTGGGAAGGACATGAGATGTTCACAGGTTATCCTACGTTGCCCCCCAAAAACTTGCTGCAGTAACAGTTTCACCAACACCGTTTGAAACCCAGCCTCTTATCAAATACCTCTGATGACTCCGGCGATGTCTGTGCGAGAAGAGAACTGATTGTCTTTGAATGTGGATGGTTCCGTGAAGAGATCCCAAAACTGATGCACAGTTCTCACCCTCAGCTCTTCTTCTTTCTTTGTCTGCTCTCTCTGAAAAAAATATTTAAAATGTAAATTAAATGTTTTATAAATCTGTTGTTTTGTTCTATTGATTAATTTGTTTTAAGAAATAACCATGTGTTCTGGTCAGCGTGTCTTCTCATGTGGATGTCCTCAGTTCGTGTGCTCTCTACGTTCAGTTGTCATGGCAACTAAATATGTTAATGAGAATGTAGCCCATTCATTCCTTAAAGAAAATGAAACATTTACGCACACACAAAAAACTCTTGATGAGTCTGAAATTCTACTTGGACACCTTTTGTAGATGACAAAAATCTGTGAATGTTTAAAAAGACTAACCCAAATATTCGATGACCTCCGTCATTTAAAGTTCTGTATAAAAATAATCAAAAACATTTTGAACAGGGAGAAGTACCTGCATGTAAATGGCGAGCCCTGAAGGATGCTCCAAGCTCCAATTTGGCAGAGTGATTCCCATAGCTAAGAGCTGAAAATGCAAAATAAAAGTCATTGGAGACAAAACTAATCATTTTCAACTTGCGCATTTAACCCAACCAACCGGCCTAGATTTTTAAATCACACACAAACGCATTCCGTTGCCCTGATTCCGATATAATCGTCCACCAGTTGTAGCTTGTTGTAGATCCTAGACGGAGACAAGGCATACCATGTCAAAATAGACCACCAGCCATCTGTCTCTCTCCCACGGCATTTTAGACTCCCCTACCCAGAAGTGAACACCAAACTGAATAAATGCATTTTAATGAAGTGAGCAGGTGGTTTTCTGAGCCGTGCTCCATGCCTCGCAATCAAGCCATCACGATCAATATTGAGCACTACATCCTAATGAACCTGCGAATAAACAAGTTCTCGTCAAGGATTAGAATACTTAACATGTATAGCGATGAAATTAAAGAGCTGCATCCATTGTTTCCTGTGCCAACACTTCAAATGCATTATGTAGAGGGAAAAAACGATTTAAAATGGAAACAGAAGTAACGATAAATTCTCATATCACTGCCTTATAAATACGTGTGAGATTTGCAAACGAAAAAAAAGTAGGACTGTGAGGATTGGCCAATTATAAATTTACAAATTTGGTAAAAGCCAAGGTAGGCATTTACATAACTAAATGCACAGAAACAATTCAATTTCAACAATTGTATTTATAAAGCAAAATCTAAAACTAAATTCTCACAAAATCTGTGACACCCATTTGCTTTTTTTATATTCTGCTTTAATTTTATGTTTTTATGATTTGTTTGAATATTCATTCATTTTCCTTTAGCTTAGTCCCTTTATTTATCAGGGGTCGCCACAAAGAAATTAACTAATCCAGCATATGTTTTACACAGCAAATGCCTTTCCTGTTACAACCCAGTACTAGAAAACATTTATTCACTCTCATTCGCACACATATACTCTACGGCTATTTAGTTTATTCAGTTCACCTATAGTGCATGTCTTTGGACTGTGAGGGAAACCGGAGCACCTGGAGGAAACCCACGCGAACACGGGGAGAACATGCAAACTTCACACAGAAACGCCAACTGACCTAGCCGGCACTCGAACCAGTGACCTTCTTGCTGTGAAGTGACAGTGGTAACCACTGAACCACCGTGCCACCCCTTAGTTTGAAGATTTTTTTTTTTTTTAAATAATTGTATTTATAAATATTATGGCAAATTACAGTAAAAAACAAACAAAAACAATTATACTTTAAAAACGGTGTAGATAGTACCAACTTAAGTACATAAAATAAAATAAGAAAAAAACATACCAACAAATAAAAAGGTAAATAATATGGCTTAACAAAAAAACTGCAATTGTCAATCTGTTTTACACAATACACTCTACTTTGAACTAAGAAAAAAAGGACTTGATCTATATTTAACAATAAAACATGTTCGTAGATAGATTTCCTAAATGGGTCCCAAATTTTCCAACTTTAGGAAGAAGAGGACATCACAAATCTACTGTGTTGAGATTGGAGGTTTCTGATCCTTCCACCTCAGCAATAATAGTGTGTGGTCAGGAGCACAATAAAAGCAATGCACTCAGATTGTATCTTTGTAAGATTATGTGAGATTGCAAAAATCCCCAAAATGGCAATCAGTGGGCAAAGAGAGATGGATATACTCAAAAAACTGAAATTGTTTTAAAAACAGTGTAGTTGAAATATAATTTGCCATAATAAATAACAGTGTTGCAGAAACCATACATGGTAAAAGTACAGAACAAAATATGTCAAATTAAGTTAAAAAATATTTCTTGTCATCATGGCAAATATATATATATATATATATATATATATATATATATATATATATATATATATATATATATATATATATATATATATATATATGTGTGTGTGTATATATATATATATATGTGTGTGTGTGTGTGTATATATATGTGTGTGTGTGTGTGTGTGTATATATAGATATATATGTATATGTGTGTGTGTGTGTGTGTATATATATATATATATATATATATATATAGTAAATAAAATTTAACTAGATATTTTTCAAGACACTTCTATACAGCTTAAAGTGACAATTAAAGGCTTAACTAGGTTAATTTGGGTAACTAGGCAAGTTAGCTTAATTAGGCAAGTTTTTGTATAACGATGGTTTGTTCTGTAGACTATCGAGGAAAAAAAATTGCTTAAAAGGGCTAATAATTTTGTCCCTAAAATGGTGTTGAAAAATATTTAAACTGCTTTTATTCTAACTGAAATAAAACAAATAAGACTTTCTCTAGAAGAAAAAATATTATTAGACATACTGTGAAAATTTCCTTGCTCTGTTAAACATAATTTGGAAAATATTTAAAAAAGAAGAAATAAATTTTGAATGGGGCTAATAATTCTGACTTCAAACTGTATATATATATATATATATATATATATATATATATATATATATATATATATATATATATATATATATATATATATATATATATATATATATATATATATATATATATATATATATATACATACATACATATACATATACACACACACACACTTGTGACACAGTATGGTAAATACTGACTCTAAATAAAATGTAATTAATTAAAAAAAACTTAAATCCTGCTACATTTACAGACAAATTATCAATTGTGTTCTTTTTTAAAGATAGAGTTGCAGATTGCCTTTTACTCACAGATGTCAACATGGACGTCAAATGTTCTGCCATCTTCAGGTTATTATTGTTCAATTTCATGTAATTGTTCAGTTTATTTTCCTACTTTGTAACAATGGTCCACATCAGTGTTAACGTCTTGTTGACAAACTCATACGTTTCAAATTTATCAAGGGTTTAGTATGACCCAGCTAGGGATAACAATTTAAAGTGTGAAAAGTCCTTATGCGAGGTTAACACCATTAATGTGATGATAACCCTGCTCCAGACCAGAGTTTTAGTAACCCTGGGTATAACGATGCTTTTAAATAACAGGTGTGAAGCATGTCCTTACCTGGGGTTTAAAACAGTGGATAAATATAATCCTGGATTATCTGTAATCATGTTTCACACTGCACTTAATTTGACTGGGGTTAACAAATAATCCTGGGTATTCGCCAGTAGCCGTTTCACATCCGTAAACCCCAGGTTAACATTCTCATTCACATATTTGTAATCGCTGATTGGACAAACACCAGGCTGCCTTTTCACACAGCACATTCTTTTCAGTTATAAAAAATGTCGCCACGTATATCTTTAGCTGTATCAAGCCTCACAAGATGTGCAAAGGCAGGAAAACAAAGACAAATTTACAAATACATGATAAAAGGAGCAAATAATGTTATCTCACCATCTCCTGATCACTCCAGTTTACATGCTTCATTCATTTTCCTTCAGCTTAGTCCCTTTATTCATCAGAGGTCACCCCAGCAAAATGAACCGTTAACTTCCAGCATATGTTGTACACAGCGGATGCCCGTCCAGCTGCAACCCAACACTGGGAAACATTCATACACACTCAATCACACACACACACACTAAGGCCAATTTAGTTTCTTCAAGTCGCCTATAGCGCATGTCTTTGGACTGTGGGGGAACCCGGAGCACCTGGAGGAAACCACTACGAACACGGGGAGAGCATGAAACTCCACATAGAAATGCCAACTAACCCTGCCGGGACTCTGAGCCACCATGCGACCCCAGTTTACATGCTCTCCATCTTTTAATATTTCTTACTTTTCTCCTAATGACTGCTGTTTACATGATAAGCGTTTCCTGTAACTGACATGACATGAACCTCGCTGCTCAATTTAAAAAGACGAAATTATTCAAGTCTGTCAGAAGATTGAGATATTTTGATTAAAACAAGTTACAAAAATGTAAAGAAATTAATTTTACACAAGACAAATAACATACAATATTAAACATATTTTGAGATTTTATCCATATTTTATTTTAAAGACACGTTTTTAAAAGGCAAAAGCTGAAACATTTGAATGCTCACAGAAACTGACAGCCATTTTTGTAATGTATACAATCTTGCTTTCCTCTCAAATTCTGCTGTCCTTTTCTGTTTTCACAATCTTAATTTGTTTGAATTTTACTTACCAGAATAAATAAGTGTTGCTGAAACCTGATATTCTGGTCATAACAGGTTCATACACCACTATTGTGTAAAAGCACAAGTAAAGAACAAACTACATGTCAAATTATTATTTTATAAAAATAAATTTTTATATAGTTTAATAAATACTGTGACTCTGAATTAATATGTCATTCATTTCAAATAACTTAAATCCTGCTACATCCAAAGACAAGACGAACTTTGGTAGCTGTTTATATTTTTAAGGCAAGTTGCATTAAGGACTGGCATTTTTTTTTAAATCTCACTTTTTTATTATCATATTTTTTTAAATAGCTTAACAGGGTCAGTGATATAATCAAGTGATTCAGCTATGGAAGTTTAGTACAAACAGACATTTGACCTTTAGCCTTGAGTATCGACTTGAATGTTTAGTGTCAGCGACAGATCAAGATCAATGGAGTCGCAGTCAAAGCTCTCCTGATTGGCCGATTATGGACTGCTCCAACACAATCT